TCGATTGCCCTATATAGGACCCCGGTACTTGAATTACCGCCGGAACGGTCCGCCGCCCGTCGCGTCGTCGCGTTGAATCTTGGCAGACTTTATCGCGAACACTTGTTAAAATAAGCGTCTCCACGGTCGAGTGCACTTCCTTTCTCCACTTTGTACCTGTGTACTCTCTTTACACGGCCGCGCTACGTGAGCTACTATATCAGTACACCTAGCCCGACAAACGCGAGCCATATTCCGTGCGAGCTGCAGCATCAGCTTGAGCTTGGCCTTAATTAAATATCATAATCCTTGAAGGTGGCCTCTAAGGATCCCTAATATTCTCGCAGAATTGTTGTTTCTTATCACCACGTGAAAATATAATGCGCGGTGCAGCAATAGACTTTTTTGATTGACTTATATATGTCTCGCGTTCACTTCTTGCTATCGAGGAATATTATATATATATATATATATACCTATATATATATATATATATATAAGAAGACTGTATATTAAACGAACTTGAAGAGCACGCCTTTAATGCCATTACCAATAATCGTTAGTGGTATAATATTATTAAAATAATTTTTAATTAATCGATTGTTAATTAAATAGACTTATCTCATATTCATAAATAATGTCAATATATGAGGAATCTCATTAAAAAGTGATTTAATAACGATCCATATAAGTACTAATTTGAGATCGAGATAACTTATCGAGGAAGTTGAACCATAAAATGCAAGGTACTGGAAATGGTGTGATTGCGAGACTTGATAAATTTCAATTTGCGAATACACATCGAAGATTCTGTACTGATAAATACACGAAGTTCAATTTCAAGACTTATACGATATTCTACCGCTAATAATTTCGGATCCTTCTCCGTATAATTAAATTGTTAATCCGACGGCATGATCCGTCTAAAATAGGGTAACGTGGTTTATTTTGGGGAAAGGGAGTTAACGATATCCGATAGTCGACAAGCCTTCGCGATACCGCAGCATTTAAATGTAGTGTGTCGTACACATGGATAACAGAGAAGGAATATGTGTATTTTTACATATTTCAGATTTTTCTTATCAGAACTGATGGATAATATTTTTCTCGTATACCGTGTAATTAAAATTTAATTTTATCCACATATTTATCCAATCAAACTTTTAACCTTTAATAAAGTTTAAATACATATTGCTTTTCTTTTTAATTTATTTTGTTTGTTTTTTGTATTGCAACATGTTGAATGTGAATGACAAGATAAACATCGGGAATGTCCAGAATATGCAACCAAATTTATATAACAATAAAAAAACTGAAATTAAATATTACATTCATATTGTTTTTACAGTTGTGCAAAGACAGATTTTTGATAAGTTCTTTAGGTTTGCAATATTCTAAATATGTGTATATAAATGTTCATCTATGCACTTTTATAATTTGGAGATTGCATAACTAATAAATGTACGCCAAAGAAATAATCAATATAACTTGGATCACGTCATCATATAATAATCAATATTATATGTTTACCCATATCAAATTTCTAATAATAGAATTTCGTATAGAGGTAAGATCAGAACATTGTCACTTCGCTCCAGAAATAATTTCAGATTTCTGAACTTTTGCCATTTCTAGGCATTTATGAAATTCGTATCATGCGCAACCGTTTTCCATCAACTTTTTATGCAAGAGAAAGCGTAATCTAAATACGCATCTGCAAATAGCAGTCCAATAAGAAATCTATAAAATAAGAATGGCATGGCCGTTTATAAATTTAATCGTTTGAACTTTTACGAATAATCCGATGGGTCTTGAACTTTCCAAGAGCTACTAAGCAATTCATTCCGTTATCTTTCATGGCTTCAGTATTGTGATTCATGATATTTTCAAATGTCATAAGCTGTACGTACGTATCGTATCTTTATTTCAAAAGTGACACGACTGAAAATAACGTAATTTTCAAGTTATTACCATGAATTAGATTAATATTACTCAATCAATCCTCAAAAGTGAATTAATTTAACTTCATTAAAAAATCACAGCTTAAAAAAGATTTTTAAAAGAAATTGTTAAAATTGTTACAACATAAAAAGGATGATTTTTCTAAGAGTTATGTAACAAAAATAACAAAAGTGACATTTGATTACGTTGAGAATATATATTTTTTGCCGATATTTAATTAGTCGCCAATTTTTTGTCAAGTTTAAAATTTTATTGGAAAACTTAATTTGTTGAATTGTGTCACTTTTTAAGTAAAAGTGTGATATATATGTATATATATGCAAATTTTATTAGAAGCTCCCTGAAAGATTTTCCTTTTTTCAAAAATATCTATACTAACGATTAATTAAATTGATAATACCTCAATTTGATATTGATAATAGATATTAAAAATATTTAATTATAGTTATATAAGTCACTTTGAGAATTATGAGAAAGATTTATGAAAGTTCTTAGAGATAAAATCAAATCACTTTTTATTACTTTACGACTTTTTAAATATTCAGACTTTTAAAAAATAAGAAATCCAAGACAATGGGATTCTGAGACAAAATTAAATGTTTTAATTATATAATTATAAAGTAAAATTTAAGACAATGAAATTCTGAGATAAAATTTAAACTTTTAATTATTTGTAAAATAAATTTTCTGCATTATATTTTATGTATCAAAATAATAATATTATACTTTTATATATATTTTAATTATTTTTTTTATCAGGGGAAGAGAGACAGAGAGAGTGAGTGAGAGAGAGAAAAAATTGATTGATTGTATATACAGTGATTGATCGTACGCGCGTTCGTATCTATGCTCACACATGGGCACAGATCAAAGAATATTTCTGGAATAGAATGAGATAAAAATTTAATCGCTCGTGGGCATGATATCCGTTTGACATATCGAATTACACGTGTCGTATACAAAAGTTTAAGATAAGAAACCAGCTGAAAATATCGTGGATACAATAGGGTAGCATTCAGATCTACCTACACAATTGCGGAGGCAGACTTAAGAATATAATTATACCTTTATACTGTCAAGCAGATGAAACGGTATGAAAAATTAAGCCAGTTTTTATAATACCATTTTAAATTATCAACGAGAATATAAGTAATGCAACGGAAGTGAAAATTTTATCTACGCAAAACCGTTAAAAGGACACGAAAGAATTAATGTCAACGCTAATTCGAGATGTTAATTTTGTTCTTTCAATGAAAGGCAAATGTGCCAAAGAGAAAGAATTAAATTTTACACCTGGGAGTTAACTAAATATTGAATCACATTGTATCACATTAAAATATTACTATAAATACATAGCATATATCGCGGAATTTCTCTGTAATATTAATGAGCGTTTTCCTCTTTCACAATTATTGTTATGAAACTGGGCTATTTCTGGCAAATCGGCGTGTAATGTAATACATGCATAACGTTCAGGTACTTCACCATTTCCAATAGTGAAGTAGAAAAAAAGGTATCTGTAACTCTAACGGGGCCAAATCCAATTTGCGATAAAGCTCGTAGTTAACGAGTACCGAAACTGCGGCGAATTAAGGAACTGATCCGTGATGCAACGGTGCGCAAGTCTTGTCGTATTGGGGAAGTGGGCAGGAGATAGAGAGAAAGGGAGGGGGGGGGGGAGGACGAGTAAAAACCGAAATAGCATCTAGAAATTAAACGCAAATCAAATGGTCGTCGAGACGGTCGAGGTTGGGTTGTCTCTCCGCAACATAGTGTTATCGGCAAAGTTCTCAACGGCCACCGGAAGTGGGAGCTCGACTGCGGAGTTTCTGCGGAATTACAACGTATCAGACATTCAAAGTGGTATTAGCGCACCGTCGTAAATCTACAATGGGCTTAACCCGTGGGTGGGGAAAAAAAAATCCGGTGCCGCGCCACGGAAATGGTTGATGTACGATGCGCGCCACGCTGTGACGCGGCATCCGGATGATAAAAGGCGTTTAATAACGGATCAAAATCTTCCGATTCGAGGGTGTTTCTCTGATGAAATGATAGAAATTTAGCAGATTGATAATTAAAATTATTCAACCGTATATGGGGGAGCGAGGGAGGAATATGGCGTAACTTCGTAATAAAGTTTATCTAGTACATCGGCGCATACTTCGGAAATTCCAGTCGCGATATCTGAAGGATATTAAAATCGATCTCGGCCGAGTAAGTTTTCCCCGGCAACGACCCGATTTTCCCCGTGATGTCTATTTAACTTTAATAATTACTTCATGCGATATATTTCACGGTAAAGTTAATAAATATATAGGAACGGCATCAGATGAATAGAATTGGATGATGAATGGGATTTGAAGTTAAGAGCTCACGTTGCGGGAAAAGTAAATTGATGAGGCATAAGAGTAACTACTTTACAGCAACCAAGACATAGTCAGCAGAATGAATTAAAATAGAGAGAAAATGGATAAACGGAGGAGTTTCTAATTTTTAATCCGCTCATCATAACTATGAATCATCATGTGTGTGAAACAAAGTATGTAGATATAATACCGATTGGACCTTTTCGGTCAAATCGGATTTTGGTTTGACTATAAATAATTTTTTTTTGTGTTTTTACAATTTCCATTTCACGAAAAGTACCGATTATCTGTCGGTTTTAAAATACAATTCTAAATCGAACTGCATACGTGATATCGCAAAATAACTTTTAAACCACCACGTCCAAAAAAATCACACTAACTGCACAATGTCAGTCTGACAGACCGCTATTATGCTCTCGCTAATTTTATAAGTTAATTATAATAAAAATGTATGTTTTCTGAGTACTTGTTGATGAGGAAAAGAAAAATTATGTTTTAATGTGAGAATTAACAAAAAAATCTCATATACAATAGAACTAAAATATATTTAAATGGTGATAAATAAGAAAATTGTTGACAAGTAACGTTTCAATAGCGGTCTGTAAGACCGATATAGTGGTTTAAAGGTTAAATTGACCCAGCAATTATAATAATATCAATTAATAATATCAATGCAATAATATATATAACGGATTGAGATTATTGTAAAAATTATAATTTCTAATTGTGCAGGATTTTCTCGATGGCCATCCTCGAGGTAACTTTTACCAATTCTTTTTGGTCATGGGAAAATAATTCAATGTTAGCGCGGTTCCTTCGGTACATATCATAATTAAATTGTAAGTAATGCCGGCCGAGAGGCGGAAAACAGGCGGAATAAATTTAAAGCCACGGAGAAGTCCCGGTGTCTTTAGGAGCCATTAAAATTCAGCGGCAATCCACGATCGGCGTAGGGGAGGGGAGGGAAAGAAGGCTGAAATTCCGGGCGCACTGATTCAACTTCTATCATCACGTGTACGACGCGAGAAGCTCGAAAGCGTCTCAGTAATTTTGAATCTGTATGCAGCCGAAGAGAAATCCACGGACCAATAACGCCCGCGCATTATTATGCAGATTACATCGTAACCCGTATTAGTTCGTTATCACACCTACATCTTGAACAGTTCTACTCGACAGCGATGCTGGTACAGATTACCTGGAAAAAAAGCGCCGAGATGAGGATGAAGATGCCAACCGCAACTCGCTTCCGGCATTTCAATTCAAATTACCTCTCGAAATTAAATAGATAACAGAAACACTTTTGTATAAAATATAATTTAATTTTCCTATCTGATCACGTGAAGTTACTTTGAAAGAAAAAAAAATTGAATAGTAACTGTCAGTGGTGGTAGTTGCAATGTGTGCATATGTGTTTAAATTGCATCTATTTAACTTAATTTTAAAGATACAGTAAATATAATTTTCATAAGTAGCTCTTATAAAAATAAAGTACAAAAATTAGTGATTTTTTTTATTTCACTGAACACTTAAAACGCTATACTTTCAGGTCTTACAATTAGATTTCTCAGTTAACGAGAACTTGATTATGGACAACGATTACTTACGAGAATTTTTATTTATTTATTTATATACGGCAATGGCCACGCACAGGGGCAACGACGAATTTACGCAGTTTGTTAATTACTTGTAAATTGAAAATGCCGCAATGACCATTTTTACTTCAAATTAAACTGCCAGAAACATACTTCTATTCATACCTCTTAATGATAAACAGTTTTAAATTAGTTTGGCATTTCTGACCGGGAATAATCGTGCGCGGCGCGCCCAAACAAGAAGCTTAATCGAGTTCGGTGTTTCGAAAAAAAGGTTGAGTAGTTGAGTTTGTAGCGTAGTGGATAAAAAAATGGCTCAAGGCTACCCAAAGAACCTTCCCTTCGCAAATTGTGGATCATGCGAATTATTAATTAAGGCTAGAACGTGTTATCGACACGATCTTTCACGTTCATTTCACGGAGGCTGATCTTTAATGTTGCGGAAATTTTTTGAAAGAGAAAGGAAAATTTTATACAGTTACAATACAGACAAAGCAGCAAATTTTATTGATGTAGAAGTCATTAGTAATAGAATAGAAATAACGTACATGCATATATGTAAAATATTCACATATTAATTTTTTTAAGAAGTTAATAAATACATGTAACTTTTTAATATAATTTGAATATAATATAATTTTTTATTATTACAATATTAATATAATATAATTTAAATTTTTATAATATAATTTTTGAATTATACATAACTTTATTAAAATTATACATACATTGATGCATTTTTATAAGAAGTTTTATAATTAATAGAACTAATGAAATATAGTTACATTACACACAAAAATTTTTCGAAATTCAAAAACTTGACGAAAATTTTCCGATCGAAAACACAATTTTGGTCAGAAAGAATATTACGTCAGTTATTATTCCACTTTGACGATTGACAGACTTGCGGATCGGTTATGTCGATATCGGGCACGAAACAAAGCCCGAAAATTTTCATTTCGCTAGTTTCCAAACGCTGTTATCTTGGAAGAATGTAAGTCACGCGTACATCACGGAATACGTAACGTACGTTTTGGGAATAAAAAGCCGAATAAAAGCCGCCAATATCCTACGCTCGGCACTATCGAAACGGTCATCTTCGATGATGTTATCTGCGCGGACGAGCAGGCTTATAACAAGGGAAATGTTCGACGTGTCGGTAACGAGAAATAAATCCCAGCCTCAGTGTCCGGGCATTGTTACATGCAACCGCGGACACAAAAGATTTTTATGGGAGAAATGCTGTAATAAAATAGAGAACGATATTTAACTATCGCCTTTAAACGTTTCAATTAATGGAACAATGCAATGAAAGAGAAGCCCTCAAATGACGAAATCAAAATTTAAACCTTGCGACAAAAACTAACCGTGCCGAATTGAGTTTACACAAACATGGCGCACCAAATTACGCCGGATTTACTACATTCGGTCCTAAATGAAGCACAGAGCGTGCGGAGGGTATCGTAGGACACGTAAAATATCATCGTAGGATGAGCGTAGAGTCAGATGCCGGGAGAGGAGCAAAGATTAAGATGCATGCGCAAGGGTGATTATTTGGTGGTGAACCATATGTGCATAGGGAAATATTTACGGTGGGCTTTGTACTCAGACGTGACAAATTGCGTCAGATGAATTCCGTCATTCTTGTCATGTTGTCTTGTATGTATGTATATACGTGTCTAACTATTCCTCATCGTTAAAACAAAGATAAATATATCATGGAGGCTACATTTACATAGCTATATTTAATAAGGTTTTAAATTACCTTATTAGCAGGCTCTTTCAATGCAGTTGGAAAATTTGTGCCATATTTAACACATTTCACTTTCCTCAACACAGTCCATTTAGACCATTGTGTTAATTTATCATAAGACGAATAGGTCTATGTTAGAAAGTAGCACAAGCGTTATGTACAAATTAATAAAATGTAACATTTTGACACAATTTGGAAGTAAATTGTGTAAAACATATTCCTTCAGTAAAATTAACATTTATATGTTAATTAATACGTACATTCATTTTTATTGATTTATTTAAAAATTTACGTTTTAAAAGTTTTTATTTTTACATATTACTTTTATATTATTTAGATTACCACAGTTCCCCATAAATTGTGTTATTTTAATACCAACCATAAGAAATATTAAATATTCAACAAAATTCAACACAAAATATTTAAATAACCAAATTACCACATTATGTTAAATTAACACTCGGATATGTTAAAAATTCAACACAAATTATCACAAGTCTCGAAAGAAAGATTAGGAGTTTCGATGCTATTACGTACCATAATGTTTGTAATTACATGCAAAAGTTTGTAACAGAACACAATTTTTTATTATATAAAATAAAGACTACAATTTGAAAACTTATAATTATTTATGACGGCTAAAGAACCCGGCATAGTAGATTTCACGTTCAAAAATAATCAATCTTACCGTATTTTGATGAGAAACTTATGTGGGACTTATATATTTAGATGTGCAGAAATAATCGCAAAGCGGACTTACCTAGAACAGAAAAAAATATATGTCAGATTTATATCACAATTATATAAGATTTATATAACATACATTATAACTATATATTGTATCATGTAGTAAAGCTTAATATTACGAAAAAATTAATTTATTTAAAGTCATTATTATCAAAATTTATTAATCTTATTAAAGTATACACTGCTGTCTTTTAAAATTGCAACACTAAAAAAATGTGAGATATCAAAGTAATATTTATATGACAGATTATTTATGATATATGGGGTACATAATGGTGTTTAGAGTATAGCTCATTAAGCTTATTTTTATATTTTATTTTTTTTAAATAAATAAGAAATGTCTTTTTACGTGCTTAGCTTCTACAATTTAAGAATGTAGTGTATATAAATGCCTAAGAGCAAGTAATATATTATTAACATTGTTATTTATTAATATGTTAATTTCTTGTAAAAAGAATGGTTTTGCTGACATATTTACACATTTAACTTAATACAGATTTGAAAATAATTTTAAACCGTTAAAATAATTACGTAAGATGCTCAAAAGCAATGCTGTAAAAAGTTTTAACAATTCTAGCAATCAGTTTGAGTATAATTATTCCTGCATAATTATTTTGATGATCCAACAAAATTATTTTCAGATCTTTGTCTAGCTAAAATTTTGCTTCAACAAAACTGTTCTTTTCGTGCTTTTATGCTGACTTATCGCAAGATTATTACCTATAATGTATAAGTATCCAGTTATAGTTTTTTACAATAGTTTTTAATAGTAAATTTATAGTATTTTAAAATAATTAAGAGAAAATGTATCAAATATCGAATCGTCGAAGTTATAAAGTTATGATCGATTTCAATATCCCTTAGTATCATTCGTACAAGTGTAGCGTACGTAGTACAGAGGTACAAAAGTTCAAAGGTAATAAAAAGATGACGGATTAGAAACAGTCGAAGAAACGCGCCGCGAATAACAAAGTATTGGGCTATTATCGTTCCTTTCAGTTCGCGATAACTCCCGATTCTCTCGTAGCGCGCCTCGACCATGTCCTGCTCGGTAGGACGAAGTCGTGCCGTCGCTCCTGGGACTCGTAGATTCGACGACGCTTTGTATTCCACGTGCGCGCGAGAAAACGCTGTTATGATGGTGCCCCGTCCCTGGAGAAACCCCCAGGAGGGGAAAGTAGGAGAGAAAAGAGCGGCCGCGGGGGGGGGTGAATCTGCGGGGAGATGAATTAAAGGGTCGGTCTGAGACACTGCTAGAGGCAAAGAGACAGAGAGAGAGAGAGAGAGAGAGAGAGAGAGAGAGAGGGAGAGAGAGAAGGAAGAACGAAGCGGAGACAACGAGTCTCGCTTCGTTTTTATTAGCACTTTCCGCCGGAAATAAAAACCGAAGGCTCGAGCGCGACTTACCAATGCCATTAGCGAAACGATTAGATCACGCGGAATTCAATTATATCGGAGCGGGCGGTAAGAGAGCGACGAATTACACAGCCGCGAAATTGGAAAGATATTTTCATGACTAAAGTCGAGTCGAGACTCGCGCAATTACTTATGTAATTCTGATAAGATAATCATCCGCAGTTTCGGGGCGTAAAATTTATCAAGCGAGAGAGAGACGACAGTCGCGCGAATCGTCTTGTAGGTATATAAATCCATGTAAAATTATAACTCATTCTTCGGTCTGAAACCAGAGACGATGCCGGCACGCTTTAATTGTTTGTCATAAATTATTAATATACAGGTAGCTATTTTCATCGCGTGCAACCAATAGAGCTGCAACGACAAAATTCGGAAGGAATGCCTGCCGAGTTTCAGCAGAGGCGATCGAATCGTAGAAAACTGCCGATTGTACTCGGGAATCGTGAGATATGCATTATAATGGCTGTAGTCGCGATGCAACACTCCCGCATGTCAAAGGCAAATGTCTCTGCATCGAGAGAATAGGTAATAAGGGAGGCAGAAATATAACGTGGTGGGATGAAATAGAAAAGGGAGATGACATCGATATTGCCATATTTGAAACGAGAACGACGTTGAGGAAACAGAGTGCAACTATAGCATCAAATACAAATCACGGTCAAAGGAAGGCCGGCAATAAAGTGGCCTTGCAACAACTCTATTAAATTTTGTAAGGCAAACGACTCAAATATTGATGCACTGAAAACTACCTGTAGTATAATCGGGATTTTCAGTAACTTCTAAAAAATTAATAAATAATTGCAAGACGGCAATGTGTTACAAAAAACATATTTTTCAAAGTAGGGAAACACATTAAACGTTTTCTATTAATTGCTATTTTTCACATGAAATAATA